GACCACGCCTCAATCCCTTCTCCTCCATTCTCCTCTCAGGATCTTGGGCACGCACTCACATGCCTGGCATGAGTTTAAGCCACCAGGTCTGGGACTCGAACCGTGGTTGACTACATGGGAGTTCAGCAGCATAGCCATTATGCTAACTGCTGATCCCTGGAGTCTAGCACTTTTAACCACATGCCACCTGCTGGCCCCCCAGCTCTCTATTTTTTATTTAATTAATTAAATTATTTTTAGTTTTGTTATAGGGTGTGTGTACTTGCTAGAGAGAAACAGAGAAAGTGAAAGGGAAAGTGAAAGAGAAAGATAGAAAGGGAAAGTGAGGAATAACCCTCCAGGGGGATGGCCATACTGCAATGCCTTCTCTAGTTTTCTCTCTGGATTTGGGCACACATGCACACGTGCCTGCTGTGTTTTCAAGCTGCTGGGTCCAGGACTCTATAAACAAACAGCTGACCATATAAGATCCAGCATCTTAACCTCCACCTGCAACCTGCTGGCCCCACTCACCTCATTTCTGTGTTTTTTTCTTAAGTGAACTAGTGGGAAGGAATTGACCATAGTAATTTTGGTATGTTTCATGTTTCTTCTGACAATTATAAATCAAGGACACTACACTTTTTTTTTTTTAAAGAATTATTTTATTTAGCTTTATTTATTTATTTATTTTTAAATTTGACTAGAGGGACAGTGCAAGAGAGCAAAAGAGAGGGAAAGAAAGTGAGAAAGCAAGCCATCAGGTCCGGGACTCAAATCATAGTCGGCCATGTAGGAGTCCAGTGCCTTTAACCACCACACCATCTGCCGGCCATAGGGACGCTACACTTTTGACCTATGGTGTTAGATTATATAGGCCTCTGCTTGTCCTGTTATCCATCAGCAGTTCAGATTGCCACAGTGAAAGGTTTATTATGGGCATTAGGTTATAACTTACTTAAAGGAGATTTAGTAGTAATTGCGGATTTCCAGTTCTTTGGCATACTCACTCTGTGATCAGTAAGGACTGTTTCTCTTCTGAGTGGTATAGGCTTGTTACCTTCGTGGCCTGAATTCTACCCATATTGCTGAAGAAAGGTGTCGAACATGGCTGGGTGAATGGCTGCAGATTTCCTGCAGCCTGAAAGGTAAGACACATTTCTGTGGTTATGCCTCTGAATTCCAAGCTATTTTTTAAAATTTTATTTACATTTTTATTTAACAAATTTTGCCAGAGGGCACATGTGCTTTTCAGAGACAGAGAGAGAGGCAAAGTGAGAAAGCACTCCCATGGATAGTCATGATGCAATCCCTTCTCCTTTTTTTTCAGGATTTTGGGCAATGCATGCACAGGCACCTAGTGTGTTCTTCAAGCCACTGGGCCCTGCACAGTTGGCCACATGGGATCTAGCTGCCTAAACCACCACACCACTGGCCAGCCCTACTTTTGTGTTTTATTCTGAGATTATTTTGGAGTTAATTACTGAGTGGTATGAGACCCTTGTCTAATGAAAGGGCTCAAACTCACCTGCCTACTCACATGCCTGCTCCATGTCTAAAGGTAGTGAAGTAGACTGTCAAGACAGGAGTAGTGAGGGGGTGGAAACGGCGGGCGCATGCTAGTCTGAAGCCGAATTTTTACCTTTCGCACTCTTGATGATTTGTTGTGGAGGGGCTATTCATGCCTCTGGCCTCTTCTCACTAGATGCCCATAAAACCCCAGTATGACAACCAAAAATGTCTCCAGACATTGCCAAATATCCCAGCTTTGAGGGAAGAGGGGTAGAACTGTCCCAATTGAAAAGTGCTGGTCTAAAGGCATTCAAATTCAAAATAAAACAAAAACACTTTACTAGCTAAAGAAAAATTATCTGGGAGTGGGGAGGGGGGATTGCTGTCGATCTCCTTTTTGGAACCTTTGGCTCAGTCTGTATGTTTTCTAGACCTGGATACCAGGATAGGCCTACTAATCTTGAAGCTAAGAAAAGTCCTTGGTTTGCTAACTTCTGTCAGAAGAATCCCAAGGTGATGAGGTGTTTAGTATACTACCATCTCTGAGTTTTCTGCCGTTATCACATGAGGATCAGGCGATAGAGGATGAGTTGATATGAATATATCATAGAAGGAAAGGAAAGCATGCATGCCAGGCTGGAATAAAGCTGGGAGCTTTGCAAACAATAGCCTCTTAATGCCACACCTCCTGGTGCTTGGCTGTCTGCCCCTAGTTTCAAGCTCTGTATGCCAAGGCAGTTAGAGGGCAAATTGTTCCCTAGCCAAACCGCTAACACTGCTGGTGTTTTCAGAAGCTGAGCTGTCCCTCTTGCTGCACAACGTGGTCCTGCTTTCCACCAACTACCTTGGGACAAGGCGCTGAGTGACACATGGAGTGAATGGCGTTGTCCTGCAGTCACAAGGTCTAGCGATGTGGGACCAAGCAGCACTTGTCAACAGAGTCTGTGTGCACTGTTAGGTGTGTGGGAGGCAGAGGAGCACGTGCCATGGTCTCCATGGTGTGGCACCACATGGGAACCACAGGAACTTCCCTCACAACTCGCATTCAGTCCGTTTTTCCAGGGGTGGCCCATGTGAGGTGCAATCCTGTCTTCATAATTATCTGGAGCTGGCAGCAACTTCTGCTGGCCTCTTACTGTGATGTGTTAAATCCTAGGAAGTCACTTTTTGCCTCACGTGGGAATCCTCATTTGGCCTAGGACTCCTCCACTACCATATTCTTTAAGCTTTTTGTTTGTTTGAAGAATTTCTTGCTGGCGAGAACAGCACTGTTAGGCTAGAGCGTGTACATTCTTGCATGTTCTTCAGTGCTCCCCTCAGTCCTTTCTGATAAGACCAAAAACTAGGGGGTTTTACTTTGGTCCTCCTTACTGGCATGACCTAACCACTTGCCCTTTCCTTTCTAAATCCTTTGAACACCTTGACCGTGTGTATGTGTTTGTTTTTTAATAACTTACGGGAACATTCTAATGGAAAAGATAAAACAAAATACAAGCGCTTCTTAACCACTTCCCTGGCATTTAGCCTTCACTCTCAGTCTTAATTTCTGGGCTATGGTATAGCCACCCTTGGCTACCTCCACTGTGTTGCAGTGATCCCACTGTAAGTGACAGTGGCTGCCTCCTTTAGGCCATGGATCAAACTCTTAAGGTACTAATTACCTGCCCAGCCAGGGAGACCAGGAAATCTCTGTATCAAGATAGTAAGTTAGGTTAACTTTTGTGTGTGTACACCAGCGACGCATAGTTCTGTAATAAGTCATTATAAATGCATAAAGCACTGTTTCTAAACCTAAGTAAAGACTGCCTGAAACCAGTTGATGGAAATGACTTATGCATACTCTATAATAATTTTGCTAAGGCCCCTTTCACAACACTGACCTAACTCAACTAATGGGGATTTAACTGGTTGGACTAGACCTGGTGGAATGGAAGTTTTGAAGGAACCGATTTGAAGTTACTGGAATGAGAAAAGGGGACCCAAGAGTAGGGACCATAGCCAGGGCAGAGCCCCAGCAGGGCAGGAACCGGGCCTACTTAGCCTAATGGGGCACATAAGGGCATATGAAGCAAGTCAAGCTCCTGGTACTCCAAAGACAATATTCTGTTTTTCCATTACAAAATGTTTCTGTTAACATTAATTCCTAACTGACCTAATTAGTTTTATGCACAAAGCTGGAGAAACATCTTTTCTCTAACAAGTGACTGAACCGTGGCCTGCTAAGATAAAGAATAACATAACATTCTTTTGAATATTTCTTTAATATTACATTTAAATATTCTCTTTAAATACAGCATTATCACAATGTAAAGAACCTAAAGGGAAAAAAAATTTTAAGAGAAACAGACAAGCTTTGGATTCACATTGGAAAATACTACCTGTGTACAGTATGTGGGAGAGGAAATTGGAAAACAATAAGAGTGGTGGTAGTAAGAGTCATTTCTTTTATCTAGGCTTAGACCGAGTGGGACTGAAGCTGTCTGCTTCTATGACCAGAGGCCTAGCTTTCCTAGGAACCATGAGCCATAATTCTGTCCAACTCAGGTAGCACCAGAAATTAGATGGACTAGGCTGTGTATAAAAGGCCCTTTGCTTGAGAAGACGGTTAATGCTAAATGTTAATATTTAGCATTCAGAAGTTTGAGATAAGTGTGAGTCAAACTGTAGAGTTAATAAAGGGATGGACTTAGATGAAGAAACTATAGTTTTTTCAGATATATCAAATATCTTGTGAGTGAGCAATGTGTTTAATTATTACAGATTTAAACTCCTGGTTTGATCCCAAAGGCTAATTGTCCCTATTGAGCAGCTGGAGACGTCCTGAAGAGGGAATGTGTAGAGCTCACCCTCCCTTTTTAGCATGAACTTTCTGAAAAGAACTATTTCCTCCATAAAGCCAGATTTTCCAGTAAACATCAGGCTTGTGTTCGAGGGTACAGGTCTAGGGTAAGGGAGGGGAGCTCAGCTCAGGACAGCATCTAGGTCTCAGACGCTTTTCTCAGCTCTGTTCTGTGAGGCTGGGGAGACGTACGGACTTAGGTACTTAATAAGAACTCCCCTCCAAACATAAAACCACGCAAAAACAGGAATGAACAGGAAAGGCAGGAAGCGTTGGGAAAAAAATATTACATAGAAGGCCTTTCAGGCTTCGAGTTTAGATTTTATGAAATGCTGCTGTGACACACATGAAAGCGGCTTTGAGACCCCAGGACCTTATATCCCACATGAAAAGGCTTTATGAGCAAGGTAACTAGGAATAGATCTCTCTCACTGAAAGGAAAGTTTCATTTTTTTTTTCTTTCCTGGTTAATAAACCATAAGGGAAGCATGATGTAAAGCATGCTAGAGATAGTGTTGCTCCCTGCTGCCTCCATTTTAAAACAAGCAAAGATAACTTTGCTAACGAATCAGTGGTGTTCAGTGGAGCAGTCATCTTGGGACACAAGTTGGACATAAAAGGCCAGATTTTCCAGTAAACATCAGGCTTGTGTTCGAGGGTACAGGTCTAGGGTAAGGGAGGGGAGCTCAGCTCAGGACAGCATCTAGGTCTCAGACGCTTTTCTCAGCTCTGTTCTGTGAGGCTGGGGAGACGTACGGACTTAGGTACTTAATAAGAACTCCCCTCCAAACATAAAACCACGCAAAAACAGGAATGAACAGGAAAGGCAGGAAGCGTTGGGAAAAAAATATTACATAGAAGGCCTTTCAGGCTTCGAGTTTAGATTTTATGAAATGCTGCTGTGACACACATGAAAGCGGCTTTGAGACCCCAGGACCTTATATCCCACATGAAAAGGCTTTATGAGCAAGGTAACTAGGAATAGATCTCTCTCACTGAAAGGAAAGTTTCATTTTTTTTTTCTTTCCTGGTTAATAAACCATAAGGGAAGCATGATGTAAAGCATGCTAGAGATAGTGTTGCTCCCTGCTGCCTCCATTTTAAAACAAGCAAAGATAACTTTGCTAACGAATCAGTGTTCAGTGGAGCAGTCATCTTGGGACACAAGTTGGACATAAAAGGAACAGGAACCACGTTCCTCCCTGGCAAAGGTAAGAACGAAATTTGAGTCTAACCCTATAGACTTCAAAGATGATCAGAACTTGAATCCTTTGCAGTCTTGTGGTTGTATGTGGCATTTAGGAATTGGTTTGACTTCCCATTTCCATGTATCATCAAGATGGAGGGGTCCAATAAACATGTGTAATTCTTGAGGTTGAACTGGATTGGTATAAGAACTCTCTAACCCTGTATAACCAACAAGGACCACGAGGGTAGATACAGGAAAGAAAAGAAAAAAATAAACGCACACACTAGTTGGTGACCTTAGATTGCCACATCCTACATTCCATTAAAGCTCCGATCTCCCAAAGAGGGGAAGAAAACCTGGGTGAAAAGCAAGCGTGGCACAAATAAAGTCATCTTTCCAGACAGCAGCCCGTTCCTGCTGCCTCCTTTGGATAGTTAGTGCTCCATACAGGTCTCTCCGGGAGTGGGCGAGGCCCCGCCTAACGCCCCCTGCCAGAGCTAGTGTTAGACACACAGAAGACATAGGTTCTTTATACCACATCCCAGCCAGGCTAGCTCTTCAGAGAAAAGTGGATGGAAGGACAGACAAGTTTAACTCCAGTACCTAAGAACATGTGGAAAACAATTCAAGTTAACAGACCAGGAGTCCCCAGTGTGGGGAACAGGTTGGAGAACACCAAACATGTCAAATATTAACTTATTTACCAACTAGGGGGCTGGGGGAAAGCACGTTAAGTTTTTATAAATCCTCGAGGTTTTGTACAGAAGCAGAGACCCTTCAGCCCCCTCCTTGCTAGACAGGACCAGGTGACATTTCCAATTGTAATATTATGGTACACCAAAACGGGATATCAAGATAACCACTAAGAAAAATGAGCTTGTACCTCACCTGGAGCGTAGGAGAGGAGAAGGGGCTTTGCCGTGCTGTTCGAATTCTTATGTTCTGGTCCCTACATAAAGAATAGCTGCTTGAAGTACCCAGCTTCTCCTGTAAGATCCTAGTTCTTTGTTCCAATGGCCCAGAAAGCTCAGTATTTGGGACTATCCAGCCTCCTCTGGCTAGTCTCCCAGTACTGTTTCTCTTTTTAAAAATACTTGTATAAACAATCCTTTCCCACCCATTCCCCAAAGACCCCAATAAAATAACATGGGAGCAGCAGCTGCTTCTACAGTTTTGTTTTGAAATGGCATTAGATAAAATAAGGGAATAAATAGAATGGGTAAGAGGCAGAATCTCCATCCCCATGTCACACTGCCAGGGGGAGTTCTAGAGAAGACTCTTCAGAGGGCCGGTCCTCACTCTGCTGTGGGGTCTTCTCCACCCCACAGCCCTCTTCATTGTCTGTGCGGAAGGGGAGGCTTGAGGGGGACCAAGAGGGGTGGAAGTCTTCGTTCTCAGGCTCCTCAGAGTTACAATCTTCGGGCAATAGCGCTTCTAGGGTGGGTGTTTTGCCCACCTCTGATTTACAGAGGGCAGCTGGGTCTGTGGGGCTGCAAGCCACCAGTGAGGTAACAGGGAGAGAGAAGACACTCAGATCCTTCTCCTTGGGGAAAGAGGCTGGGCCTTCTTCTGTACCAGGCTCTCCTTTTACTCCCAGGACTGGCCTCTGCTCTACCTGGTAATAGACCAGAGGCCCACTGTTCAAGTAAGATGGGGGGTTCACGGATGAGGCAGTTGGGTGGTCCGAGTTCTCAGCAAAACACAGGACAGAGGAGCCAGGGGCCAGCTGAGCCTGGATGAGAATGGGGGCCGTAAGGCCTGGGCACAGCTCTTCGGAAACAGCCAGGGGCTCCTCCAGGATACACACACCCAGGCTTTCCATGCTTGAGTCCAGGCTGGCACTAGAGCCACTGGAGTCTTCCTCTGCTTTGAGCCGCTCCAGTTCCTCCGCACTCTGCAGATGCATCACTGCTGTCTCATTCTCAGCAATAAACTCCTGGAAGTCCTGTGTCTCCGAGCCCTGTGTACTTGCCAGGCTGCAGCTGGCAGGAGGTGAAGGCTCCTCATCCGGGGCTGCCGGGCGGCTCACTTGCCGCTTGCTCTCCAGCTCTAGCTTCATGATGGTGTGGAGGTAATGAGTCCGGACCCGGATTGGATTAAATTCAATGCGCCCAGCCATGTTCCCACAGCCATCCCGGGAACAGCCACATGGAAAGGACATGCGATCCACCTGGGGTGGGGGAGAAGGAGGCTGAAGATGAGACCAACAAGACTTAACAATGGAGGTAGGAGACATTAGCTTGCAAACACAGGCAGTTGAGATTTGAGGTCTTACAAGAAGAGAAGCAACCAGTTCACACGTAACATGCAGCGTGAGCTAACAGCACTAGATGGTAGTTATCAGGCCACTTGCATTTCAATCCCAGCTCAGCATTAATTAGTGGTGCGACCTCAAGAGAGCCATTTCTCTCTTCCTCTAGGGCTTTGCTTCCTCTCCTAAATAAGTAGACAAAATTCGCATCTAAGGGTTCTTCCCTTAAAAAGGCCAGAGATAACCTCTCGAATGTTGGTTTTCAGCAGAAGAAACAGATGTGCCTCAGAGACTTTTCCAGAACTTACCTTGTTCACTGAGACATTAGAAGGCTAGGGCTCAAGCCTACAACCTTCTGCCATGACAGGGATGGGAAAGTGTGCGGAAGACCTTGCTAGTCAGTCTAAAGCAACACATTCTGGAGAAATGAAGCAAAGAAGGGCCTGGAAGGAAGGCGCTTATGATAGCTAGCTTCTCACACCCTGCTTCGTTCTCCCCTGAGGGCTAAGCATTTTAGTTCTGAAGCAGTTAATAAGATAATTAACTTACAGGCCAGGGATACCTGAAAAGGAGATGCTTTCTACCACTTTATTTCCCTTTTGTATTCCAAAAAGGAAAAAGAAAAAAAAAATCAAACAATACCAAAATTAAAAATAAAAAACACAAGTAAACAAATAAGCATGTACAAATATATAATGTCTTCCTAAGATACCAACTTATAGAAATCTCCATTCCAGTTCCACCAATTCTTAGGACTGTTCTCAGGTCTGTGTATAACAGACTGATTCATTATGGGACTTCAGTCTGAAAAGCAATATTTGGCCAGATCTGCTACAGCTATTTGTTACCTAGCTAAAAATAAGAAAGAAAAGGTTGGTTAGGAAAAATTCAAATACAGGGACTCAGCAACCACATCCTCATTATACAAGTTTCAGTTAAATTGCATTCTTTGGGATGGTGGTGCTGTTTTCAATAGAAATGTATCTTCTGAAGTGTCCCTTATCACAAGGCCAACAAGGGGATGATACTTTGTATCTTTCAGGAAACTAATATTTAAGCTGCAGTGCCAAGTCTGATCCTGAATTACAGGATCTGAGAACTCCTGATTTTTAACAAAATTTGATCAGAAGTACTGTAACTGTTTACAGATAAAATCTGTAGGCCCACTTCACATCTCCACTTCCTCTTATCTCAAGGAATCAGTATTTAAGGGATAGTTACTAGATGTTAAACATACTAATCTTTATTCTTTTATTATCAGCTGCTTCTCACCTCTGAGGTGTGAAGCAGAAAAGATAATAGGTAACTCCACAGCCTAAGAATCCTGTCATGCTTGTTTTCATTGTTGGTGGAGGAGGGTTGTGGAACTGGGGATGCATTTACAGCTGGGGACTCCACCCCTGGATGGACAGCCTCCCATGTTCACTGGCACCCACATCACACTACAACCCCTACCACCCTGGTGTAGATATACCAACTCAGGCCAACTTGGACTGACCTGGCATTTAATCCCGGCCTGGCTACAGGCACATGCCTCTGGGTCACAATACAGCCGACAGTCACAACCACACTCTTCCCGTGACAGGCGGATGGCTCGAAGTTCTTGTTTTTCTTCCGCATCAATGCGGTGGACCCCAGAAGCTCGCAGCAGGGCCCTTCTCCTTTTGGTGGGTAGAGGCTGCAGGAAGAAGTAATCATCCACCTCCACGTTTTCCACATCAATATCTTCATCGGAAACGTCATCCAGAGTCAGGCCATCGGCCTCCACTGACTCCACTGTCCCATTCTTGGTTAGCTGCCAAGAAACAGGAAAGGTTAGCCTCCTGAGGGCTAGCAACACAAGCCGCAGTGCACCACTGTCCAGGGAACCTTTCGCAGTAACAGGAATATCTACGCTGATTAACACAGCAGCCACTAGCACACGTGGCTTCTGTACACCAGTGAAGTGGCAACTAAGAAACTAATTTTTTTTTTTGGGGGGGAGAGATTTTCACTGTAGGGTGCATGCGCTCGCCAGACAGACAGAGAGAGACATAGAGACAGAAAGCGAGAAATCACCCCCCAGGGGGGATGGGCACGCCGCAATCCCTTCTCCTCCATTCTCCTCTCGGGATCTTGGGCACGCACGCACACGCGCCTGGCGTGAGTTTTTTAAGTCACCGGGTCCGGGACGTGAACCGCGGTCGACTACGTGGGAGTCCAGCGACATAGCCATTACGCTAACTGCTGGTTCCCACTAATTTTTTTTTAAAGAGAGATTTTTGCTGTAGGACGTGTGTGCTCACCAGAAAGACAGAAAATGAGAAATCACCTCCCAGGGAGATGGTCATGCTGCAATCCCGTCTCCTCCATTCTCCTCTTGGGATTTTAGGCACACGTGTACATGTGCCTGGCGTGAGTTTTAAGCCACCTGGTCTGGGACTCAAACCACGGTTGACCATGTGGGAGTCCAGCAATGTAACTATTAGGCCTTCGGCTGGTCCAGAGAAACTAAATTTTTAATTTCATTTTAATTAAATAGTTGCATGTGACTAGTGACTAGCACGTTGGACAGTGCAGGTCAAGAGAATATACATGCTCAGCTGTAGGTACATGCTGGTTAATGCTGTTACTTCTCAGGCTGAGGTCCCATAAGGAGCCCAGGTTCAATTCCCAACCTACCGTAAAAAATCAGGTACAGGGGCTGGCAGGTGGCATGGTGGTTAAAGGTGCTGGATTCCCACATGGCCGACTGGTTCAAGTCCTGGACCTGCCTGGTGGCTGGCTCTCTTGCTTTTCCTTTCTCTCTCTGTCTCTGTCTGGTCAAATTTAAAATAATAATAACAAATGGAATTAAATAAATCTTAGAAAGCAATCAGGTACTCCTAGCACTTAGAAAGCTGAGGCAGGAGGATCAGAACAGAGACCCACTCTTAAAAAAAAAGGGGGGGGGAACAGCAGTTAGTGTAATGGCTATGTCGCTGGACTCCCACGTAGTTGACTGCGGTTTGAGTCCCGGACCCAGTGGCTTAAACTCAGGCCGGACACGCATGCATGCGTGCCCAAGATTCTGAGAGAAGAATGGAGGGGAAGGGATTGCAGCAGTGTAGCCATCCCCCCCCGGGGGGGGGATTTCTTAGTTTCTATCTCTCTGTCTCTCTCTGCCTGGTGAGCACATGCGCCCTATAGCAAAAACCTCTCCAAAAAAAAAAACACACACAAAAACAAAAGACAGAGGCCAGCAGGTAGCATGTTGGTTAAGGTGCTGGACTCCCACATGGCTGACCATGGTTCGAGTCCTGTACCTGGTAGCTTGCTTTCTCACTCTCTCTCTTTCTCCTCTCTCTCTCTCTCTGGTGAGTGTATATGTCCTATAGCAAATTAAAATAATAATAAAATAATTCTTTAAAAAAAATTCATCCAGACCAGGAAGACAGGAAATCTTACATAGATCTAACATCACCCTGTCATGACAGGGAATATTACCTTTCTGGGTCTAAGTTTTTCAGATGTTTGTTTCAACTCCCCTCCTAGAAGATAATGTATTCTCACAAATGTACCCTAACTTAGGCTCACTTACTTTCTAACACAGGGAGGAGAAAGAAGGTATATCAATGGCTGATGTTTCCTGGATATATACATAACCATGCAAAACACCATTCAACTTGTACCCCACAGAACCCAAAACTACTTTCTGGGAAAAAAAGTACATTTAACAGTATTACAAGGTGGGGCTGGCAGGTGGTGTGGTGGTTGAGGGTGCTGGACTCCTACATGGCGGACTGTGGTTCAAGTACTGGACCTGGCGGCTGACTTTCTCATTTTTTCTCTTTCTTTCTCTCTCTGACCCCTCTCTGGTTAAATTAAAATAATTAAAAATAAAGTTAAATAAAATAATAGTAATTTTTTTTGAGAGATTTTCATTGTAGGGCGCGTGCGCTCGCCAGACAGACAGAGAGAGACATAGAGACAGAAAGCGAGAAATCACCCCCCAGGGGGGATGGTCATGCCGCAATCCCTTCTCCTCCATTCTCCTCTCGGGATCTTGGGCACGCACGCACACGCGCCCGGCGTGAGTTTTAAGCCACCAGGTCCAGGACACGAACCACGGTCGACTATGTGGGAGTCCAGCGACATAGCCATTACGCTAACTGCTGGTTCCCAAAATAATAATTATTTTTAAAACAAAAGAGTATTACAAGGATGCCAGGTCTTCATCTATGGATCTGAAGCCCCACACTGTGACTGATATGTGTACACAGAAGAGCTTCACTGTACTGGGAAGAGGGAAAAAAGAAAGCAAATTATTGGGTCATCAGAAAGTCATGATGCAGGGACCAGCAGTTAGTGTAATGGCTGTCGCTGGACTCCCACGTAGTTGACCACGGTTTGCGTCCCGGACCCGGTGGCTTAAACTCACACCGGGTGTGTGTGCATGCGTGGTGCACACGCCCTATAGCAAAAACCTCTCCAAAAAAAAAAATAAATAAAAGAAAGTCATGATGCATTTTTTTAAAAAGAATTATTTAATTTTATTTATTCACTCATTTATTTTAATTTGGCCAGACAGAGACACAGAGAGAGAAAGAGAGTGAGAGAGTGAGAAAGCAAGCCACCAGGTCCAGGATTCAAACCATGGTCGGCCATGTGGGAGTGTCCAGCACCTTAGCCACCATGCCACCTGCTGGTCCCCAGTCATGATGCATTTTTAAGTAGAAAAACAGGGACCAGCAGTTGGCATAATGGCTGTCACTGGACTCTCATGTAGTTGATGCGGTTCGAGTCCCGGATCTGGTGGCTTAAACTCACGCTGGGCCCGTGTGCGTGCGTGCCCAAAATCCTGAGAGGAAAATGGAGAAGGGATTGCTGCGTGGCCATCCCCCCTGGGAAGTGATTTCTTGCTTTCTGTCTCTCTGTCTCTGTCTTTCTGGCAAGTGTACATGCCCTTTAGCAAAAACCTCTCCAAAAACAAAACTATGTCATGACTTTCCTAACAACCAATATTAACAGCTATCAAAGAATGCCTTCATTTCTAACTAAGAGCCTAGAAAAAAATGTGTTCCTTCTCCTTTCCAGTCTTTCTGACTTCAAAGAAAAGCTGTATGTGAGGTGCAGAGGTATAAATAATACTGAGTGTACTATATGTGGGAAGAAATCTGGGTTTCCTGGGCTGAGATGGATAGAGAGCCAGGAAAGGGAATCTCAGTGGAAGGACAGATTGAAGACAATCTGTGGCTGAATGAGTTCTGAAAACTCACTAGAGAATTCAAGTAAAGAAAATGAGGCCTCATAATCCCTGGGGCTCTGGAAGCTGCTAGCAAGATAAAAGCCAAGTGACTGGAGCCCTTGGTTTGTTTCATCAGACAGCCACAGAGTAGTACTGGTAAAGGAACAACTCCTGGGAGAGGTATGATGCAACAGACCGCGGTGATAGGCTGCACGTCTATTTACTGTTTGTTTTGGGGGGAGTGTAGAGAAATGAGAAGTAAAAGTGCGGCTTTTGGTGTTCCCTAGTCTATTATTTTTATACCAGGCAGGCCAACTACTAGAGCCACTCTGCAGACTTTAGGATTGCTTCTGTCCAGGGCTGGCCTTCTAAATACCCTGCTCTCCCCTCGAAGGAAAGGGACTGGAAATGCAATCGGAAGAACCCTACGTAGATATGAGAATTGAAGACGTCAGGACGGGGGAGGCACTTCAAATCAGTGAGGAAAGCATTGAATAGTACTGGGAACCAGCAGCTGGTGTAATGGCTATGTCACTGGACTCCCACATAGTCGACTGTGGTTTGCGTCCCGGACCCGGTGGCTTAAAACTCACGCCGGGCGCGTGTGCGTATGTGCTCAAGATCCCGAGAGGAGAATGGAGAAGGGATTGCGGCGTGACCATCCCCCCTTGGGGGTGATTTCTCGCTTTCTGTCTCTATGTCTCTCTCTGTCTGTCTGGCCAGCACACACACCCTATAGCGAAAACCTCTCAAAAAAAAAAAAAAACATTGAATAGTACTGGGACAGCTGGACACTTCCCAATTCATACTATTCAGATCATGGATTCAAGGCCACATAAAATAAATATCTTACAAAAATTATAGATAACTAAAGCAGCAGAGCACCAAACAGCTATTGGAACAACACCCCAAAAGGTATATGGGAAATGCGAAATGCATATTTTCTTAGACCAACTGCCTTCCTTCAAAATAAGAATTTCTAAGAGAAGAGTAAACGGGGCCCGGGGAAGATAAAGTAAGGGTATTGTTTTGACACATGGAGATGTATTCAATGCCATCAGTGCTGGTGTTCACTAAGTATCTTGCTAGTAAGTAGCAGGAATCCTGTATCTGAATATTGGGGTTTGCTTGGCTTTGTCCCTAGAATTCCTGCGAGGGGGCAGGGGCACAGAACAGGATAGTATGTTATTTTGACAGATCATTCCTTTACCAGATTTAGGGTAGGAGTTTTCTCCTTGGGAAAGAGAAGGCCTGCGCTGCAATTGATGAGAGCAGTGTTTATTTGCCCAGCTGTTGCTATAGCAGCAGGAAGGTGACAGGGTCAGTGATGGAATTCTTCAGACAGAAGGGAAGCCTGAATGTCAGTCTAGTTAGAAAAACAGGTGTAAGGCTTTGGGAGGAGGCTGAAGGAAGGAGACAGAGCTCTCAAAGGGAGAAAGCAATGAAATATGGTAGCCTGCACCCTCTGCCAGCAGTTCTGTAGTCCTACCACATTCTGGTGCATCTCACCCACAAGCCCAGAAATAATGCAGCCACCTGTTTTAATATGGGTCAGTATACGTTGGGCCCAAAAGAGACCAGGCCAGGCTTACAGCAGTGTTCTTCAAATTTGGAAGCAGGAACTCTGGGGGCAATTTTTTTAAAAGAATCATTTCATTTGACTTTATTTATTATTATTATTATTTTCCAGTTTGATCAGAGAGAGAGGGAAAGTGAGAAAGCAAGCCACCAGGTCCAGGACTTGAATCGCAGTCAGCCATATGGGAGTCCAGCATCTTTAACCACCATGCCACCTGCCGCCCCTCTGGGGACAATTTTCTTTTTTTTGGGGGGGGAGAGATTTTCACTATAGGGCGCGTGCGCTCGCCAGACAGACAGAGAAAGACATTAGAGACAGAAAACGAGAAATCACTCCCCAGGAGGGATGGCCACACTGCAATCCCTTCTCTTCCATTCTCCTCTCGGGCTCTTGGGCACGCACGCACACGCGCCCAGCATGAGTTTTAAGCCACCGGGTCCGGGACTCGAACTGTGGTGGACTACGTGGGAGTCCAGCGACATAGCCATTACACTAACTGCTGGTACTCCCGGGGACCATTTTTGAGGATTGGTGGAAACTTGTGTGATGTGGTACCAAACAGTGCTGACACAGCAAATAAGTGGCCCTGAAGAGCCGTCTGAGATGGCCTTCTCCTGCCTCTCTTCCTCCCAATTCTGAAGAGCTGGACAGTGGGCACAGTATTACACAAGTCGATGATGCTGCTGTTAACACCTAAAAGACTCACTTAAGGGTGATGGGGGCTATAGTGACAGCAGTATCCTTTTAGAAAATGTGAAAGATCCAAAACTTGTTCTATGCATCTGGGCAAGGGACAATCATTTCATAAACTGAAAATTGCTTCCTCAGGTTCCAGGGGTGGCAGACCTAAATGCCTTCAACTGTTCACATTTTATTTTTTAATTTATTTTAAAAATTTTTTAGAGAGATTTTTGTTACAGGGCACATGCACTCATTGCAGAGACAAAGGGAGACAAGAAAGAAAGTGAGACATCACTCCCTGGGGGGGTGGCTATGCTGCAATCCCTTCTCCTTCATTCTCCGCTTGGGATTTTGGGCATGCACACACATGCCCTGTGTGAGTTTCAAGCCACTGGGTCTGGGACTTGAACTGCGGTCAGGCATGTGGGAGTCCAGCAATGTAACCGCTATGGCACCTCATGCCCCCAGCTATTCACATTTTTTTTTAAGAGAGATTTTTGCCACAGGGTGCATGTACTTGCTGGAAAGGCAGAAAGAGACGGAGAGATGGAAAGCAAGAAATCATCCCCCAGGGTGTTTGGCCATGCTGCAATCCCTTCTCCACTCTCTCGGGATTTTGGGCATGCATGTACACATGCCTAGCATGAGGTTTAAGCCACAGGGTCCAGGACTTAAATCGTCGTTGACTACGTGGGAGTCTAGCAATATAACCATTATACCATCTGCTGTACCCACATTTTAAACTCAAAAATAATTGAGGGTGGGGAATGGGCTGGGGGATAAGGAAGAATTTTAGGGAAGCTATTTTGCTATGTCCAGTAGATTCCCCATCAGAGGTAAAAAGGGAACCCTAGATGGAGATTTGGTTCCGAATCTGAGACTTCTCATTAGAAAGATATGGAGTCTCTACATGCCAAGGACAAGAGAACAAAAATCAATGGACCTATGTGGTTTCCCTCTTCACCTTACTATTGATATATAGGACACACAGACCCCAGACACCATAGGCACCTTCATTTTCTTGGCATGGAGCTTTTCCTCCTTCAAGTGTTCACGAAGAATCTCTCGATGGTTCACCTCCTGCTCTTGAGCAAACTCACAGAGTGTGTAGCTGCGTACAGAGTTATGGCGCTGGGCCATGCCCAGAGAGCTACCACCCTGGCTGGGCACACTGGTGAAACCCTGGCGCCGGGCAAAGTAGTATACAGTCACCTGGTCAAAGCGTACATTCTTCCTCCGCAACTGTTTCTGCCGCTTCAGGATGGATGTAGCTGAGAAGGGAACACAGACAGGTGTTTTTCACCCAGAGATCCTATTTGGGGACCTCACTCTTTCTCATACATCCATGCTCTGAACTCTTCTCTCAATGTGCTCCCTGTACCTAGAGAAAATTCTAATATTTTCAAATTATGAATGCACAGTGGGAAGGGACCTTGAATTTCAGCTGGCTCATACCACTGCCTCCAGACTTCACCTAAACAGATGACTACAAATCTATTTTTAGATATCAGCTGGGAGGAGCATCTCTAGGTAATCTCTGGATATTACAATCTATAAACTGTCCAGTATAGCAGGTACTAGCCACATGTGCCAATTTAAGTTAATTAAAGTTAAACAAAATTAAAAAAAAATAATTATTGCCACTAGGCCTAGTCTGGTGGTACAGTCAGTAGCAAACTGATCTGCAGTGGTGGAAGTCACATAGCTGACTGTGGGTTCAAGTCCCTCAGTAGGCTCGAAAACATGTCGGCGTGTATGCACTTGCCCAAAATCATGACAGGCTAGAGGGCAGGGGAAAGGGGATCACGACCTGACCAAGACCTGGTCAAGGGTGCTTCCCTCTCTAATGAATAAGAAATTATGTTCTAATTAAATTCATATTTTGAATGCTCAATAATTACATATAGCTAATGGCTACCACTGGACAATGCCAACACAGAACATGGCTATCAAAACAGAAAATTATATTGGTCAATGCTGATCTATAGCAGAGGATGGATCTAGAGCAAACTATCTCTATAAAGGGCTGGAGAATAAATATTTTAGACCATGAGGTCTCTGTTAAACTGTTCAACTTTGCTTGCTGTAGCATGAAAGGAATCATAGACGACAAGTGTGACTGTGTTCCAATAAAACTTTATTTATTTATTTATTGGAGAGGTTTTTGATATAGGGCATGTGCGCTCACCAGAAAGACAGAGAGAAACAGAGAGACAGAAAACAAGGAATCACCCCCCAGGTGGAATGGTCATACCGCGATCCCTTTTCCATTCTCCTCTCGGGATCTAAGGCAAGCACACACATGCGCTCAGCATGAATTTAAGCCACCGGGTCTGGGACTTGAACCGTGGCCGACTACATGGGAGTCCAATGACATAGCCATTATGCCAACTGTTGGTCCCCCAATAAAATTTTATTTATAAAAATTATGAGAGAGATTAGGCCATGAGCAACCCCTTATCTACAGTATCAGAAGTTCTTTTGAAGAACTAACTGAGCCATAACAATTAAGAAATCTGGATCTGATCTTGGGACCAGCTGATGGCATAATGGGTACAACGCTGGACTCCCAACATGGCCGACTGTAGTTCAAATTTCAGATCTGGAGGCTTGAAACTCATACCAGGTGCCTGTGCGCACATGCCCAAGATTCTATGAGAATGGAGGAGAAGGGATTGTGGCATGGCCATCCCCCCCAGGGGGTGATTTCTTGCTTTCTATCTGTATCTCTCTGTCAATCTGGCAAATGCATGCACCATATAGCAAAAATCTCTCTCTAAAAAAAAAAAAAAAGAAAGAAATCTGGATCTGATCTAGTGCAGTGGTTAAATAGAGTGCAGTGGAAGCCAGATTCCACATAGCTGAACACAGTTCAAGTCATAGACCTGGTGGCTTGAAAAACAAGGAGTGCATATGTATTTTACATGTCCTAAATCCTGATGGGATGTAGAAATGGAAGAAAAGGATTACTGAGAGACCACAGCCCATGGGGGCAGGGGGTACTTTGTTCTTTTTGTTTTGGGTAAGGTTTTTGCCATAGGGTGTGTATGCTTGCCAGAGAGAGAGTGAAAGGGAAAGTGAGAAATCACTCTCTGGGGTAATGGCCACACTACCATCCCTTCTCCTCCATTCTCCTCTTGGGATTTTGAATGCACACACACATGTGCCCAGTGTGATTTTCAAGTCGCCAGTCCAGGACTTAAATTGCGGTTGGTCATGTGGAAGTCCAGCACTGTAACCACTATGCCACCTGCTAGGCCCAGGGGGTGTTCTCTCTCTCTCTCTCTGGTAAGTGCAAGCACCCTCTGGCAATTAAAAAAAAAAAAGAATGAAGAAATCTGGAGTTGCCACAGTTGTCCAGGCAGAATACATTACGTCCTGCTATAATTTGCTAAAACTCTGTGGGACTCTAGGAGTTAGGGGGTGGAGTCCTAGATTCCTAATCCAGCCCATTCTGGGGACTCACACACCATAACACAAGTAAAACCAGCTATAATAAATCAGACTGTCTGGTATTTCAGCAATGAGTTCCTCTAAAGAACAAGGGAAGATTATCATGAAGGACAAATCCCCAAGCAGTGTAGACTGTCTCAAGGGCGGCTATGGACTCTGATGCTATGGGATGTGAGTGCGGCAGACAGGGAGCAGCTCACTCACGTGTGAAACTGGCAGTTGTAGGAGGATTGAGGCTGTCGCAGCTGTCAGCACTGTCACTGCTGGAGATCTCATCATCTGAGTTGGAAACTGATGAGCCCACATCCACATCATCAAACTTCCTCTTGAGACCCGAGCCCGTGAATGCATCCATTGGTTTCAAAGGGGTGTCCTTGGGGAGCCCACCACGTTGGCCCCAAAGCCCCTGCTCACCACCAGCTAGCCAGGTGCATTAGGATTCTGCCCAGGGGAAAAGAGAAATTAGCATTCCTATCCTAAGACATCCCCCTTCCAAGCCTACATACACAACTCTCATTGAAAAAGAAAGCACCTAGCACTGATGTCTGGTTTCTCAAGATTAGGTCATTTCTCTACTGATTCCAGCCAACATTCTCCTACTTTTGTTTTCCTTCAGTCCCTCCAGTCTCAGTCACTCTTAGAATAATGAGAGGAGTAGCACAGCATCCTTCCCAGTGGAAGGAAGGCCTTCGGTTCCAATCCAGCTGGGGCTAGGCTTCATTAGCCCAGGGATAACAGGAGCTGCTCTTCTGATCACACCGGAGAGCTCTCCAAGGGACCAGTGGGAGGGACTGGGGATCAAAGACAGAATTAGGCTTTGCCTAAACTAAGACTAGACCCAATTATTTTTCCTAATGATAATATAGCCTGGCATTCCCAAAGTATGTATCTTAAATACACTAGTTCTCCAGATATTAATAGCTTTTACATGAAAATAGGACTGCTGTGTCAAAATACTTTAGAAAACTGCTTATGGCAGAACCGCTTAGAGGCTTTTAATATACTAACGAGCATGGCGAAAGCTGGGAGGAAACAGAATGCTGTGTTTCACGAACCTGATTATGGAACTCACTGTCTCCAAAGTATCTTAGGGGACAAACAATCCTTGAAACACATTTTGGGAAATACTGTTTCAAGCTCCCAGTGTTGAAGGACATCAGCAGTCAAGAAAACCCTTTACTCAGATCACAAGTGTAAAGTGTCTCTCCAGGCTCCTAAGAAGGTCAAATTTGGTACTGAAGAATGGACCTACGATTAGAATGTATGCTGCCTTCAAAACCTAGAATATTTCCCAATCTCATACTGCTCCATAAAATAGAGCTTGCCTGATCGATCCTCCTCCTCTGTGCAAGGAAAATGTAGCTTTACAATCTTCTGTAAAGAAATCAGCAAGGGGAAAAAATAGCAAAAGAAGTGACAATTCACTCTGGTTCATTCAATATGCCTGTTTTCAACATGCCACAAACCACAGAATCTGGGCTAGCCCATTTCCCAGGCACAACTCTTTCTCTTCCTCTGCTTTCGTACTTAAGTTCCAGAAGGACAGAGTTTCCTCAGCAGAAATGCTGTTAGAGCTGGAGCCATGCGTGATGAGGTACAAAGCTTCCCTGGCTTTGCCTCAGTAATGCCAGAACGTCCCCAGACTATGATCTCACTAGTTGCTAATTATGCAGC